TTTTTATGGAAGACAATTTTTCCATGAACTGGGGAGTGGGGAATGGTTTTGGGATGATTCAAGCACATTACATTTATTGTGCACTTTATTTCTATTATTATAACATTGTAATATATAATGAAATAATTATACAACTCACCATAGGTTAGGGACCCCTGGCCTATACTACCTACCATATATTCTAGACAAGCAAGCTGCTTTCTATAAATAAAAACATCTCTGGTGATATATCATTTAAAACTTTTCTGGTTACTAAAATGCATTTGGTAGATTATTTCATGACCTTTGAGAATAACTGTATATGAAAGTAAGGTTCATTTCCATCACCAAAAAAATTAACCCTCAGAAAACAGTGAGTCAATTTATATTCAGGTACTTCCAAAATCTTTCATATTTTAGGAAACTCTCTCAATTACTTTATTTTCAACAATAAAACACTGTTTGGGGAAAATATATGAGATTGAGAGTACTTTAATCAAAGCTAGTTTTTGAAGGCTCATAAAGACCTACATGAGTAAGACAAAAAAGGATGGAAGGGAGGGAGGGAAGAAAAGGGGGAAACAAGTGGTGAGCCTGGACCTCCTCCTTTTCCTCCAGATTCTGCCCCCCAGGTACCGCACATAAAAATATTAATAAATAAATAATTTTAAAATGTAAACAAAAACGGGCAAAAAAATTTAACACAGAGTAATTAAACCTGGAACTATAAGCTCTCAATTGCAATTATGGGATGTCCCTGGAAACAAGTCTTCTAAAGATCACTTTAAAAAGCAAGTAGTTATGGTTACAAATTTATCATGCGGGACTAAAATATCCAACAATCCTGTTACATCATTGGGTACTTGTAGCTTAAGATAAATATCCAGAGACAGTGTCATACAGAGAACCAAAAACTACTATATTTTGAACATTGACTACAGTGAAGATAATATACTCTAAAAACCATGTTAAGATAACTTAAAAAGTCATTATATGATAATGGATGTAGAAGACACTTGAGTAAATGGAATTGTTTCATGAATGTGAAGTCGCAAGAAAAGCAATACTAATACATTTATTTCATATAAAATGTGATCTTTAAATATGTGGGTGGTTAAACTGACATATTAATATTTTAAATAAACATTTAATTCTTTTATCCTTTTGGTCTTCTGATTGGAAATTGAGGACTCAGCAGATACACATATGGTTATATGCTTTTCAAACCACTTCTCTCAAGAAAGTAGTTCATTGGACTTTAGTATAAAAGCATTTGTTTTAATTTTTAAAAAGTCATTAAGAACCACACTAAGCAAACATTTCTTTTTGATTTCTAAGACAATTCTTCCCTTTGAGTTTTATGGTGACAATAGCTGGCTTTGAAAAATGTAAACATATAATCAGTATTGCTGAAATCAATACCATTACCATGAAATCTCTTTGTAATAAAATAACACCGAGATCAAGTTTAGTTTGGATTATAACTAATAGAACAAACGGATTTGAGCAAATGTCTGGAATTGGTTATAATACGATGTGACACTTGTCTCTAATTGGTAATAAGAAATAAGCAGCACAATATAAAAACATGCAAATTAGATGTGTCTGTGCTTAAAATAAATCAAGACCAAGTTAAAGGAAATCAGATTGGGCACTTAAAAATGAACATATTTTCCATGGTTGCATTTAACGAGAGTTTGGGCCTGCTGACAAAGCATGCAGAGTTAGTACCCTCTCTTAGAGTCTTGATAAGAGATAATATAGAATAGGAAAAACCTTAAGAGCCCCTGAGCACAAAGATGCAATTCCCTAGGCCTCTAGGATCCTAAGTCACTTTCCTCAGAACCCTGGGACCCAGTCTGCCATCCGTTCTTTACTCTCAGATTACCAGATACTTTGGGTGGGGGTTCCCCTTTGATCCGGCTTGCTACAAAAGAGCTATGTGATCTAGTATCTAACAATCCCTTCCTTCCTTTGTCTCCCAGAGGTTCCTCAAGTATTTCTGTTAGTATATATATTTTAAAAACTAAAAGAATAGGAGTAGTACAGAATGAAGAGGTTTCCAAAGATAAAAAAAAAAAAATGATCCCTTATTTTATCTTTTCTTTTGACTTTGGAGTCTGCAGCTCTGGTGACCTCATTTCCTCATAGCACTGGAGGAAAGATGTTCATTTCCCTTCCAAAGGAAATAAACTGGCAGCGACCTTTTAGACTCTTCCCTAGGGACCCTTATATGCAGGTTTTACAAATCTGTGATGAAAAGTTTCAGCAAACACACATGCACAAGTGTACACATACACACTCTTACCCAGAGACCATCTATTCTAGTCCCTTCACTCAACATGAGACAACTGAGACAGAGAGATCATCAGTGATCCATCTATGAAGCTTTGGCAGAATCTAGACACAATCTCACATCTCCCAATTCCCATTCCAGTGCTCATTCCATTCCATCACTCTGATAAAGCATTCTTTCAAGCCTTTGGTATCAGTGACAGCAGCTACCTGCTGTAATAACCTTTTCTATTAACAAAAAAATTCAAGTTGAATGGATTCAAGACATTCAAGTTTCTTCCTCACAGCCTCCAACACCCCATAAAGACAAGGAGGTTCACGGAGGGGTATCTAGCAAGGCTGGGTGATCAGGGTCTATTTGTCTGCCTATCTTTATTTTATTCCTAACCTCCTCACACTAAGACTTGTGTTCACTTCAAGTGGCAGGTTAAGTGCTATCACCCCTAATCCACATGATCTCTTAATTCCCCTATTTGGCTCAGGTGACATATGTCCTCCTAGCCATGCATAGAGCATGGCTTGATCCTAATGTTGCAGAGGGTCTGTTGAAAAGGTTCACATAAACAAACATTTAGCCAAAACTAACAACTCTAGGTACAAAAATAATCATATCCAATTAATATATTTTAAACCACCAAAACTTGGCTAATAGGTCTCTTTAAAAATCAACCTCACAGGTCAATAAGAGACCTATGTACAATTTACTGTTATCTCACAATTCTGAAGCTTAAGTTATTTTAAAGAAATGTTTAATGTTAACACTTGCTTACTTACTGGCTCTGCAGGGAAATAGATATAGATCCATAAAGAACTCATCAATTTAACCAGAGAATGTGGGTAGGTGTAGAATTGAGTAAAGAATGCTAAAGGGATACTTGAAATAAAGGACTGGCTAGTCTGATACAAGAACTAAATAAAATCAAGCCTACTCCTCAAACTGCTTGGATTCTTCCTCCCTCTTTTACATAAGATAACCCAGGTTGAATATGCTGGCTAAGAATGAATGTGTTTCATATCCTCCCTGGGACTGAGAGTAAACTCTTGGAAAAAGGAATTCACACCATAACTCAAGTCCCTTTTTCTACTCTTCATCTTCATCTCAAGAAACTAGAAAAATTGATGAATAGCCCTTTGAGTTACTTAAGCTGAAATCTTCTCAAAAGCATTAAATATCAAGGATATAAAACGAGAAGCAGAGCTTCTAATCTCTTTGGTATCACACACACTTTCATCTGCTAGATAAGAATAATATCAGCTGCAAATGAGGATGAGAAAACCTAAATCTGAATAACTAGTAAAAATTAAACACAATAAACTTTGAAAAAAAGGAGCCATATGGTAACTGGGTCAAAGAAAGGTTTAACTTGAAATCAGAAATCTGACCTAAAAGGTTAGGTGTGGTACCCCCTTAACAATACAACACATTCTTGGGTATTCACATTAATAGGAAATATGGGCTCAAGATAAAAATTGCTACATGTCCCATTTCAGGCACAGATCATAGATGGCAAATTGGGGATAAAAGTCCCTCCACTTAAGAATTTAGGTAAAATTGCTACTTAGAGTAAAAGCATGTTAAACTACCTGACATCAGAATATGGAAATTAACAGTAATCATGTCCCTTTGAACTTAAGAACCAGTGAGCTCCAGTGAGTCTTCCTTCTAGAACCTTCTAACTTGCAGGTAAGAAGCATAGCTTCTGCAGAAAATCAATTTGAAAAATTTATACCACTCTTGTTCTACCACTAGCTAGATGTCGGGAAAGTGGCTTCAGTTGGAGTTTTAGTTTCTTATTAAGTAAAACAGAAACTATTTTACCAATGTCAAAGGGTTATTGTAAATTTTAGGTGAGATAATTTGTAAGAAAGTACCTAATACAATTAAGGGTTTTTTTTTTTTTACTGAGGGTGTTTTACTGTTATTTTCTATAAAGACAATAAGGTTCTTGTCACTACAGTGGAAGAAGATAGGGTTAATCTTTTAAAGTTTTCTTCTTTATTTTTCTTTTAATCAAAGTATTGCCAAGATAAAGAATCTAATCAAAGTTATTTTTTATAAATTGAACTTTATAGTTATTACAGACCTAAAACTGTTCACTAGACTATAAATAAAAATATGAGCATAAAGTATTTAAAATGTATGACTTTCTGTGTTTTCATGTGGCAAAACTTTCTACACGCTCTTTTTTGGAAAGGGTATTTCCACCAGATATAGACTGCTGCTGCAAATTATGTGATAATTTAGATCAAGGTCATTACCAACTTAGTTGACCAAACCTGAAAAATATTGTTTTCACGTCAGAGACCTTGAGGAAAGAACACTCTAAGGGGATTAAAATGCCTTGCAAAGAATTACAATGCGAATAGCTCAAGAAATCTTAATTTATAAAAGGTCACAGAGTTACAAAAAACATCTCTCATTTCAACTAATTAAATGAAATTTTAGTTAAATGGCACCTTTAAATATTGGTATTGCAGCTGTGAGTGCATTTAAATAGCATTTACGCAGATATAATTAGCACAATTAAACATGGGTAGAAGTGGAAACACCATTCTTAATTATATTGATATAATCAGTTTTATTAATGCTTTATAGCAACAAAAGTGACATCTGACAGTAGCACACAATTCATGACTGAATCTAATATTAAGCATTTTAGCATATTAAGGAATCTAAAGCTAGGTAATTGGGGAAAGAAAGAAGAAGTCAAATAATGAGTTCCTACCTGTGACGATACCATAGTTGGGAGGCTCAAGAATTACTCCATAAAACTGGATGATGTTTCTGTGACTGAGGACACTGAGTATTTCTGCCTGTACAAAAAATAAAATGTAAAAATTGCATAAAATGACACATTTATAATAGTCTAATAAAAACAGGGCTCCTATTCAATTTTGTTTTACATACATTTACAAAGATATATGTGTCAACAGGTAGGTATGTGAGGGTGATAAAATTGTCTTTAGGAGCATTCTTAAAAGTTTAAACATTTTTTTTGAAGCTTTCGGAAAATTCAAAAAGGAAATGGGGTTGAAGAGGCAGTAAAAGAGGCACTTACCAGCAAGCCCGCATGACCAACAGCAGAGGAGGATCACTAAATAGGTGGGATACCACATTTATTGACAGTAGAAGCCTCTACCTAATAGTCAAATATATTTCTTCTGCATACTGTCTCTTCTGGGAGGGCACAAGGCTGATTGGTTGGATGAGTCAAAATGAAGTAGGGGTTTTTAAATATTAATGAAGTAGACTCAGGTAATACCTGCGTATATTACTTATCTAATCATTTATTCAAAATATATTATTTCCTCTCCTTCTATATGCAAGGCACTGTACACATATAAAGGTGGAGTCTTGACCTTTGGTGGTGACTTGATAGGAGGTCATATTTATACACTCTGAACTGTATTAAACACTAGAAAACTACACTAAAGAATGACAATGGTAAAAAATGTTATTTTTATTAACAAAAATTAATTTTTTATTAATTTTTAAAACAAAAAATAGAGATATTCCAATATATTAATGTCCATAGAAAGAAAATCTCTAGATAAATCATATATCTTCATTAACATTTTATTACTTTTACTGAGAAAAATATCGCTAATGAAGAATTATAATTACAATGAGGTATAAAATCATGTAAGTTAAATATAGAAAGGATTTAATATTTTTAAAAGAAAATATTTGGCAGGAATGGAAGAGATTTATAAATCCTCACTCCAGAAAGGGGATCATCAAGAAGAACATCAGCAATTAACAAAAATGAAGATGCCTTGGTCAGAGAAAGGACTTCCCTTTGGGAATCCACACACTATGAATTTATGTTATTTGCTATTGGTTTTTTTTTCATAGGATAAGAGTTAAGATTTCATTAAAAACACATCCTGTGAAACTGGTTTTGAAGGTGGTGTAACTACATAGAAAACAGAGTTTAAGGGCTGGCATAGGGTTAATATGGAGTAGACAGAAAGAAGATCATCACTGATTGGATGAGGTACTTATCAAGGTTGCTTTGACAGTGTGTTTCTTTTAATAGTAGAGATGTTGAAGTGGGCAGTCATTGCCTAACCAAACAATTCCTTAACACTCATTGAGTGCCTACTGTGTATAAAGCTTCTGTGCCCATCAAGCAACCTTCTTCATCATATTTGGTTTCCAGTAGGAAGAAAATGCATCAATTAGGCAACACAACTATTTTTTAAAAAGCAGATCAACTCTTTGCTGAGTAAAGCATTAGAGTTCAATGTGAGTACGGCAATAAAGTTAATGTTTGGATCAGTACTTGTCAAACTTAGGTAGTGTTAACCTTTGGTATATTCTTTGGGTATCTGAATTCTGTGACCACTAAAAATTTTTGTACCAATAAAGAATAAACACAAGAATATTCTGAATTCTTAGATGACCAATTTATAATTTGGGATGATGGGATTTCCAGTATTCCAGATAGTTTCCATGTTTGCACTTAAGATTTTACCAAGGAATACCTTGAGGAGATAGGATTTATCTTTCCAGGTATTGGTAAATTGGTATGTCTAACAGCTCTTGGGCAGGAAAATACTAATGTCAAAATAACAACCATTATCCTATGTCTCATTGTTACGCTCATATTTTAATTTTTTACAATTATGAAGACAAAAATACTCTTTTGAGCAGTATAATTTGTAAGTAAAGACATTTTCATGGAATAAGACTTTAGGTTCTTATTTAATAAACTAAGAATGTGATTTAACATCATAAAAACAACATAATATTTTAGAGTGCTATCTGGTTTCATGGAAATGGGTCAACAGAAAGCAAAGGCAGTCTGAATAAGTAAGTGATGTGTTTGTAATAAATGAAGGTCAAAGGATATCATGACATTAGCAATTCAAACAAGCTCCAACAGAAACAAGCATGAGGTTAACTAAATTATTAAAACTTGCATTACAGCAATCAGTACCTGATAGTGAACAGATATACTCTGTGGAATTTGCTTTTATAGGCACCTCCTTGCAACAGTTCATTAATGAAACTGTTGCAATAAATATGTAGTAAAAATTTTTCATTGAATTGTTGTTTTCCCGATTTATTCTCTGAGCTACTCTAGCAAATGGACTGCCCATCAAAATAATGCATTAGTGGTTTAAAAATGAGTTCACTGTTAAAAAGGAAACATAATAATGATGAAGGCTAAAAATAATGGTCCATCATGCCAAAAATTATAACTATATCTTTTTACACTATTAAAGCCAATACAAGCAATTTATTTTCAGTAAATATAATTTGATGAAAATTGCTAAATTATATTGATTTTATAGTTTTATTTTTATGTAATTGAAAAATTGGTTTTGATTTCACAGGTATATAATAGCTACGAGTTAATTCTTAGTTTTGTTTGTGTATACTTCAGTAACACTGAAATAATAATCTCAGTGAACACTTGAAATACATAACACTTAATTTTACTATATAAATGAGCTACACATTTCTCAGTTTGCAAATGCTATCCTGGGGACTTAGATACTTGTACCCAATGTTCAAAGCAGCATTATTCATAATAGCCAAAAGGTGGAAACAACCCAAGTGTTCATCATCATCTGATCAATAAATCAATTGATCAATGAATGGATCAATAAAATGTGATACTGTATATAAATACAATGGAACATTACTTCAGACATATAAAGGAATTAAGTACTGATATATGCTACAACATGGATGAACCTTGAAAACATTATGCTAGACACAAAAGGGCAAATGTTGCATGATTCCACAGACGTGAAGTATCTTGAATAAGCAAATTCAGAGATGAAAAAAAGCAGATTAGAGGTTACCAAGGGCTGGTAGGAGGAGAGAATGAGAAGTTATTGCTTAATAAGTACAGAGTTTCTGTTTGGGGTGGTGAAAATTTTGAAAGTAGATAATGGTAATGGTTGCACAACACTGTGAATGTAATTAATGTCACACTTAAAAGTGGTTAAAATGGAAAATTTTATGCTATACATATTTTACAATAAAAAAGTTTAAAAATGGCATCTTTTGCAGAGATGAATGATCAGAGTCTACAGATACAATCCAAGGTCTAAATATCCTTAACATAAATACATAATTTTCCAGATTAGGACTTGAGGATCTGAGATAGATTGCAAGAATTTTAGGATCTAAGACTCTCCATAAAATAAAGGGTCTCAATCTGATACATAAATGGGGTAACCAAAAGTCCATCCATAAAAATATCTAATAGTAATGTCATTATCAGGGTATAAAAATGTCCATACACATTATTTTGTTTGCAGCAAAATATGCACCTGCTCTTATTGTTTCCAGCTAGAGCTAGTTCCTTCCTCTCTTCCTCTTTCCTTTCTTTATAGGAAAAATTACAGAGGTTTTAGTTTGTTAATAAACCTAGGTAGGTGGCGGGCATTTTGTTATTAGTTTTGTTTTATCTGGCATTTCCATGTGTTTATGTGGGGAGATGAGCTCAGTTTGCCGTGCTTCTAGAAGTCAACCAGCACACAGGTGCCAAATGACTGATTCATTCAGAGATATTAAGAGAAGTTAAATATCATACCTTTAATTCTCTTCTTTTAAAGTAGAGAAAAACTTCTTTCCAACAGTTTTAAAATATCCTCATCTTCAGAGTGATTGATCCCTTTCTCTCAATTCAAAATTCTTTTCAACCTAATCTCAAATTTTAATTTGTTTCTTTAATTTTGGAGAGCAACCATTGGATTCTTAAAGATTGTGCCTTTAAAGCTTGTTTACATCTTTTATTTTCCATTAACATAGTCTACATGTATTTACATGACAGATTACAAATTACGTTCATTTCTTTTTGCGAAAGAAAGCAAAGATACCAACAGCAACCTAGTTATAGAGTGAAAGCAATCGTTTCTGAAGCCCCACATCAGTAGGCCGGCAGGCTCAGTTTACCTCTGACATTTGGAACAGGCTTTTCTCCCTGGCTGTCAACAGCTATGACCCTCTACTCAGTGGCTGGCCTGTGTCTCAGCAGGGCCCCTGTTGCTGCCTGTGAGGTGGCACTGACACAGGCACACGTGGACTGCCCGTGGATGCCAGCTGCTCCTCTGTGTGTTGTGGTACTCAGAGGCACTACTCCGCAGACCTTGATCTCTGAGGTCATCACCAATTCTAAGAGTCTATCATTCCATGAGAGTCTGATAGTAAGAGAAGGAAAAGTGGCTCAGCCAATCATTCAGCTCCTCCCTGCACTATCCATCCAAGGCCAAAGGCTCTCTCCAAAGACAGCTCTGTCTCCAAAATACCAATATGGCCCAGGATCACTCTATTCTCCCACAGTTCAAAAAGGTATGAGATGATTTCACATTTTTTTAAAATAAAAATCATGTGTCTAGAAAAAAGATTGGAAAGAAATAAAGCATTAATTGTGGTTACCTATCTCTCAGAGGCAGGAAGAATAATAGATTTTAAGTGTTTTTTTTATATATATAATTCCTAAATTCTTTACAATAGCACCCTCCCCTTTTTTTGTGAGACAGGGTGTCACTCTGTCACCCACTGCTGTGGCTTGATCATAGCTCGCTGCAGCCTCCAACTCCTGGGCTCAAGCAATCTTCCTGCCGCGGCCTCCCAAATAGCTGGGACTACAATTGCATGCCACCATAGCCAGTGTGTGTGTGTGTGTTTGTGTGTGTGTGTATAAAGTATGTGTGTATAAAATGTGTGCATGTGTATACACACACACACTTTTTTAGTAGAGATGGGGTCTATGTTGGCCAGGCTGGCCCATGTAATTTTTATAGTCAAAAAAGGCAATACAGGCATGTTATGTAATATATGTGATTAGAAC